TGTGATATTATCTTCATTTTAATGTAAAAATAAAAAATATTTATTAGTAAAATTGAAAACTTTTATATAAAGAAAAAAATACGCATTTTACTATGTTTAATTAGTAAATTTTGACGTCGTTGCATTATTTCTGATTGTCACTATATATAAAATATAAAATAATATATACTAAAAAATGTCATGATTTATAAATTACATATTTACTAGTTATCCAATAAAAATATACTTTAAATAACATGATTTATCTTATATTAAATATTAAAATATTACATAGTGATATTATAAAAAGATTTGATTGTATATTAAATATAATTAAAACAAGTCATGATTAATAAATATTAAGAAGAGTCCAGAAAATTAAATTATAATATTAATTATTAAGAGTTAAATTTATTAAATTCAACAAATTTGAATTATATTATATTTGATTTAGTTACATTAAATATTATATTACTATTGAATTTTTATTTTCAAATAAGTTATTATAATCCAATCTCTTTATAGTCATCATCCTCGAGAAAGCAAAATTTGATAATTATAAATAGGATATAACTATAAAGATTTTTTTACTTTATATGTAAATGGAAAAGCAAAATAGGATAATTATAGAAAAATGTGATTATAGAAAAATTTGACTATATATACAATATTAGAAAAATTATTATTTATTGTATATGCAATATTAAAAGAATTATAAAAATAATCATGTAATTTTATATAACAAAATCCAGTTAATCAAAAATAATACTTCAGATACTGAAAATCTCTATTATTGAATGACTTTAGATTATTTTGATATTGTTGCAAGTCAGATTATCAGGATCGGAAAAAAGAGATCGAAATAAGGCACGTGATTCTCAAAATGTAGTGACTCTTCGGACTGATTATTTCTTGTTTCGATATCAGATCGGAATTACATGACGAATCTGTTTCATGAATCTGTCCCCTTCTTTTTGATCACGGGAATTGATCTTGAAACTCGCACCATATAGCATATAGAAAATAGAAAATCCGTTGAGTACAACTAATTACGTACTTGTATAACGTTTTATTGTTATGCTGTATCTTTAAAAATTCTCTTCAGAAAATTTCTAAATCATAATAAAATATGGCATACATTAATACGCTGCCAATACGAGTGCGTAACTCTTTGAAAATCCCAATAGCTGTGGAAAACGAAGGTTTTTTCTATCGTCATCATCCAGTAACCTTTTCTCTAGTCGCGTCAAATACCAGAAACAGCAAAAAATCATATCGTGCAAGTGGGCGTATCTTTCTCACTGACAAACGATTAATATTCATTGCAGATAAGCCATCCAATGACGGTTTTGAAACATTTTCATTGATTTTCACATACGTCTCGACATCAATGCTTGCTCCAATTGCTATAAGAAACTCTTTTGCGGTCACATTAGCCCTGAATAGTAGCAATAGTAATAATGCAATTGAAACTTTAAAACTCACAATCACATTTGATTCAAAAGACATGAAAGCAAAACAAACAATGGCAGATTATTATTCGATGATTATGGAGAGTACATCGGCTGTTAATAAAAAGAAATCTGAAATTGCACCGGATACTTTGGAAAGTATTACTGCATTGAATGCTAATGGGATCGGAGAGCCGCCTAGTTATAGACGTGAAACTCGTGCGAATGAGGTTTCTTTCGGATATAATCATGACAATAATCATCATGGTAGTGTTGGTGTAGCTGTGGGTAGAGGTGATGATTCGCACCCACCACCTCCTTATTCTTCTACTGTGTAAACTATTTTTTTTAATCTTCTATTCTTTTATATTTTTTGGTATATAGTACTGGGGAGGTGAATTTCAACGTTTACATATAGCTGGTCTAAATAGTTGAATATTTTAAATGTGAAGGGAGGGGAATCAGAGAACTTATCTCCAATTTTTTATCATAACAACCGATTTTTTATCTTTTTATAATCGTGAAAAGATAGATCATCTGTTAAACCTAACCCTAACTGGTTGGAAAAAAATTTTAACAAGTCTTTCTGCCTGACTTAATTCAGTAGTTAATTGGCTCTTTTTTTCCTTGACTTTTTATATTATCTCATTCTTTACCAATCACCGACCCCACTTATAAGTATATTTAAATAGCTTTGAAAATTATCAAGGATTTTTCGGAATAAAATAATAATCTGCGTAGTGAGATGAGCAATATAAAAAACGAATGAATTTATTACGCTGGTTTGTAGATGAAAATAACGATATATAATACTGGTTAATCTATATCTCCAAGTGTAATTTTATTCATTTGTTCAATAATATACAGAAGATTAGAATTTTAAAATTTAAAATTTCTATTAATCATGAAAGATATTTTTTTGTTTTATATTACATATTACCAGCTCTCTTGAATATTATTAAATTAATTATTTTTGTCATTAAGTAATTATAATCACACCTGTTTAGAATTATTATTTACTTGTTTTTGTTATTAAATAAAATTATTTTTATGATCATATTTTTTTATAAATTTGTATTATTCAATTTGATTTTTTTAATAGTCAACTCTCTATAATGAACTAATAGTTCTGTTAGTAAAAAAAGTTTGTTATATAAAATCATTGTGACATGTTAGTTTACTAGTTTTAATACAAATTAATATTATATCAAGATAGCTAGATTTAGTTATAACATGGATTGTTAGCTAATAGATGATTAAAGTGTTTAAATATAATTTATGTATGCTTTTTTTACTAGACTAAAAATGCAAATCTCTTTAAATATGATAATAAATATGATTTCAATAATATTTTCACAGAGTATTTATTGATAAATATATTTTATGAATAAAATGATAAAATATTAAAAATGTCAAAAATTATATATTTTCAAAAGTAATATGTTTTCAAAGTGATTTTATTAAGTTATTAGTTAGGCCAATTGCTATAACTTGCTTTTTTATAACTACAAAAATAAATATATTTATTATTTATTTTATATTAATTAAGTATTATATTGATTATATCAATAATTATTAATAACAGAAATAATAGTAATAATAATAATAATAATAATAATAATAATAATAATAATAATAATAATAATACAATTTAAGCAGGACTACACTGCAGCATTTCAAATAATAATAATAATAATAATAATAATAATAATAATAATAATAATAGTGATCATAATAATTATAATAATTAAAATAATTATAACAATTATCAACTTCACATGCTAAAAAATAACCTATTTGATCACAATTTCTGGTTTATTATCAACTAAAAAGCTATTGATACAACATGAAATCAAAATTATGGAATTAACTCTATGACAGTGTCACGATCAGGCTCCTGGTAGTGTTCCTATGAACCGAACCGAACCGGACTTTTGCCCGAGTTCGAGTTCGGTTCGAAATTCGAACCGAACTCG